AGAATCAAACATATTTTAAAGTTTATTCATCTTCTATCAAAGAACATACTTTGCTTTCCAATCTAATCCAATTTTCAATGAAACAGGTATTTAAAGAAATAGAATATTTATTACGATTAAGAATCAAAAATATTCTATATTCTATTCATTTCAGAATTCAATCATCAGAATTCCTAGTATAGACCTTTCTTTCCGATCTAATCCAATTTTCAATGGAACATTTAAAGAGATGTTTATTAATTAATGGTTAAGAATCAAACGTATTCTATAGTCTATTCATCTTCTATCAATTACAAGTACATACTTTGCTTTCCGATCTAATCCAATTTTCAGTGAAGCAGATACATTTAAAGAGGTAGAATATTTATTATCAATACGGTTAAGAACTAAAAATATTCTATAGTCTATTCATCTTCTATCAGAATTACTAGTACACACCTTGCTTTCCGATCCAATTTTTAGTGAAGCAGATACATTTAAAGAGATAGGATATTTATTACCAATACTGTTAAAAATCAAAAATATTCTATAGTCTATTCATCTTCTATCAATTACTAGCATATATCTTGCTTTTCAATCTAATCCAATTTTCAGTGAAGCAGGTATTTAAAGAAATAGGATATTTTTTAGGATTAAGAATCAAAAATATTCTATAATCTATTCATTTCCTATCAGAATTTCTAGTATAGACCTTTCTTTCCGATCTAATCCAATTTTCAATGGAACATTTAAAGGTACATTTAAAGAGATGTTTATTATGGTTAAGAATCAAACATATTCTATAGTCTATTCATCTTCTATCAATTATAAGTATATACTTTGCTTTTCGATCTAGGTAGAATATTTATTATCAATGCAGTTAAGAATTAAAAATATTCTATAGTCTATTCATCTTCTATCAGAATTACTAGTACACTTGCTTTCCAATCTAATTCAATTTTCAGTTAAGCAGGTGCTTTAAAGAGATAGGATATTTATTATGGTTAAGAATCAAACATATTCTATAGTCTATTCATCTTCTATCAATTACAAGTACATACTTTGCTTTCCGATCTAATCCAATTTTCAGTGAAGTAGGTATATTTATTAAAGATATATATTTATTAAAGATTATATTTATTAAAGAGGTAGAATATTTATTATCGATACGGTTAAAAACTAAAAATATTTTATAGTCTATTCATCTTCTACCAGAATTACTAGTACACACCTTGCTTTCTGATCCAATTTTCAGTGAAGCAGACATACATTTAAAGAGATAGGATATTTATTACGGTTAAGAATTAAAAGTATTCTATAGTCTATTCATCTGCTATCAAATTCCCAGTACATATCTTGTTTTTCGATTTAATCCAATTTTCAGTGAAGCAAGTACATTTAAAGAGATAGGATATTTATTACCAACACGGTTAAGAATCAAAAATATTCTATAGTATATTCATCTCCTATCAGAATTTCTAGTACCGATCTAATCCAATTTTCAGTAAAGCAGATATTTAAAGAAATAGAACATTTATTAGGATTAAGAATCAAAAATATTTTATAATCTATTCATTTCTTATCAGAATTTCTAGTATAGACCTTTCTTTCCGATCTAATCCAATTTTCAATGGAGCAGGTATATTTAAAGAGATATTTATTATGGTTAAGAATCAAACATATTCTATAGTCTATTCATCTTCTATCAATTATAAGTATATACTTTGCTTTTCGATCTAGGTAGAATATTTATTATCAATGCAGTTAAGAATTAAAAATATTCTATAGTCTATTCATCTTCTATCAGAATTACTAGAACACTTGCTTTCCGATCTAATCCAATTTTCAGTGAAGTAGGTACATTTAAAGAGGTAGAATATTTATTACCAATACTGTTAAAAATCAAAAATATTCTATAGTCTAGTCATCTTCTATCAATTACTAATATATGTCTTGCTTTTCAATTTAATCCAATTTTCAGTGAAATAGATATATTTAAAGAGGATATTTATTACTAATACGGTTAAGAATTACAAATATTCTATAGTCTATTCATTTCCTATCAGAATTCCAGAATATCAGCATACATCTTGTTTTCCGATCTAATCTAATTTTCAGTGAAGCAGGTAAATTTTTAAGATAGGATATTTATTACAGTTAAGAATCAAAAATATTCTATAATCTATTCATTTTCTATCAGAATTATTTGTACATATCTTGCTTTCCAATCTAATCCAATTTTCAGTGAAATAGGTACATTTAAAGAGGTAGGATATTTATTACGATTAAGAATAAAAAATATTCTATAGTCTATTCATCTCCTATCAGAATTCTTAATATATATATATTCCTTGCCTTCCAATTTTCAATGAAGCAGATATATTTAAAGAAGTAGGATATTTATTACGATTAAGAATAAAAAATATTCTATAGTCTATTCATCTCCTATCAGAATTTTTAATATATATATATTCCTTGCCTTCCAATTTTCAGTGAAGCAGATATATTTAAAAAAGTAGGATATTTATTACGGTTAAGAATCAAAAATGTTCTATAGTCTATTCATTTCCTATCAGAATTCCTAGTATAAATCTTATTACGGTTAAGAATTAAAAATATTCTATTCATCTCCTATTAGAATTCCTAGTACACAGTCTTGTTTTCTTGTTTAATTCAAGTCTCGTCCAGGTTCTTCTTCTAAAATGCCTTTGCGAGCAGTATCGTGAATCTGCCTCTATTAAAAACAAACGGGGGATAACGTTATTACTGGTCTATAGTCTATTCTCTTCACGGAATTCGTAGACACCTTGCCTTCCAAAATTTGCCCTTCCTTCCCTCCTCGTCTGTGATCGATATGCAAGGAATTACCGCAGTTTCTCCCGACGAATCGATCGGGATTAACAATGGACACGACAACGCACGCGCGTGTGGATTGTCCGCTTAAAACCTCGTCTCGCGGGGACGACAACGTTCGATGTGTCACGCGAATTTGAAAACGAAAAAAAAAAAAAGCAAACAGAAAAAGAGGGAAGGGGGAGGAAGCAGGGAAACGCTTTTTGCCTGTCTGTCCGTGTGAACGGCAGTTAACAGAACCATAAATAATGACTTGTCGCGTGCCAGTTTCGTGTCGATTCGCTCTCTCAACTTTGTGAGATTACCTAGCTTTACTAGGCAATCCTACGATACGAATCTCGCTCGGTCTATCGAGGAATTTTAAACCGGCAGATAAACAGAATTACACTTCTACTATTTACCGTACAGCCTACGTACCTATTTATGCCCGGAATTTCTGAAATTCGCAGAAATTCAGGGCATGCTTCAATTTACAGCACCGACTTCGCTCGCGAGCTCTGACAAATAACATTTCGTTCACGATCCAAACAAAACCGCAAATTTGTAACGAACTTAGGCGGAAAGGGGAACAAGGAAACTCCCTTTCCTCTCTTTCCCTTTCCTTCTCCTCCCTTTAACACGATCGAGATCTTATTGAAGTGTTATTATTCGAGTAATAATGTAATAATTTTTCTTCAAAATAATATAGTCGTCTTCAAATAATATAGTGTAAATTAACACTAAATTAAGCTAATACTGTAAGATAAATATGATAACAATATAACGTATTACTAGTACCTGTAAATACTAAAGAATATTAAATGATATTAATATTTTTGCATTTTTTAACCCGAACAAAATTTACTCAGAACGTCTATAATAACTTTCCAGACTACTTTCTCGGCTAGTAATAAGCTTTAGATTTTACGGCTTCTCTAATTCATAAGCCATGGAGGCGAGACGCGTGATAAATCTCGGACGAGTAACCCACTTTCCCAAGTAATATCTGCATACCGGCGCGGATTCTCGGGGAATCGATAGGTTCCGTCGGAATTCGGTGTAACGGAAGTCCTCGATGCCCGCCTCAAGGCGGCAATTTGTCATCCGCCTAAACCCTCCCCGTTATTGACCTTCACCGGTGTCGATCGGCAGGGAGGAGGCATCTACCTTGGCGGTCTTTCAAGCCCACGTTCACGGCCCGTAAAATTGCCTGTCGACGCTCTGCCCTTTAATTATTGCCCGAAACGGTTGCGTCGTATCGTTTCGATCCGTCTCCTCGTAAAAATCCAACGATCCGTGCGAATTTCCGTGCATCATAGTTGGACGCATTCTGTCTTTGATTGATTTTCACAATCCATTTGTTGCGACGCAACGAGCATCGGGTGAAAAGTTTAGAAGAAACTGGAGCGCCATCTAGCCAGGATCGCGTCTAGTGGAAACTGTCATGGCCGCCGAATTCACGCAAGTCGATTAATGGAATCTCACTACTTGTCTTGATATCGTTGAAAAATTCAATGCTTCGTGTGGAATAAGATTGCAACAAGTTATTTATTATTCAAGAGAAATTAAATCGTCAAGATTATAGTTTTTAATGAAAAATTAAATAGAAAATATATCGTTTGGCTAACGATAAAGAAAGGTTGTATTAGAATTGGTTTTTAAATAATATCAAAAAATTGATGAAAATTATTATTTACACTTTTCTTCCAACTTTATAACTTATTGTAAGATCCAAACGTTTTATATCGATTAACAAATGATTCTTTTATGGACCCACTATGATTATTTGTGTCGATACTTTATCGTCAATATATATTTTCAACAATTTCCAATACCAGTGACCAGTTTCAGAAAAGATTAAAATAGATTGAAAATTGTCATTGTAAATTTATATCGATATATACATATTGAAATATTATTGTCAATATTAGTGATCCCTTCAGGACAAAAGACAATGATTGACAATATTAATTCTCGATTGATCGCTGCCAACGATCGATAACCGATATTTTTCGATAATTGGAAATTATTGGAAATATTGGTGGAAAATTATTGAAAACATTATCAACCATACGCTGTTTCGTATAAAGAGAATTAAAACAGATTGAATATTATTTAAAAACTAATAGACATTAACGATATTATTTTTACAAATATTAATAATAATCACTTGTAGATCTCTTTAGAAGATGATGCTAGACAAACCTAATATCCTAATGTATGCCAATACTAATGTATTTCCAAGTAAGATCGAATCTAAGATTGAAGATAGCGGTCGTAAAACCTTCATTGACGATATTACCGCCCATATTAGGGGCCCTTTAATACGAAAGACGATGATTGACCGGTTAATTCCCAACTGATTGCCTTAATAACTCTCCTCCTCGTATACGTAACAAGGTCCTCGAGTTTGACACGAGGGAGGAACATTCTTCCACTCCACGGAGGAATCTAGATATCCTGTCGGTCGAGGAGGAGGGAGGGGTCCGTTGAAGGGCAATATAATCCTTTGGAGGGCTGGCATTTTATTACAAACTAGTCGATGCCCGGATAGGCCGATGGAACGAGGAGGAGGGGGATGAGCTTTTCGGGATTCGGACAAAGGGAGGCTGTGTCCGTTCTGGTCGCGCAACCCTTGTATTGTTTCGTTAACGGTAATCCGAAGCTTTCGCTGTCCCGGCATTTTGGATGAAAGGATTTCGCAAAAGACGCTGGAACGACGTATTTTGGTAAAAAAAAAAAAAAAAAAAAAAAAAAAAAAAAATAAAAAAAAGGAAGAAGGAAAAAGTAATGGGGGAAAGCTGGGATTTGATACAGGCTGGTAGTATCGAGGGATGCTTTAAGGGGTGTGGAGGAATTTCGAAACTACATAAGAGAAAGTGTCCTTTCTTTGTGACTGTAATAATAAAAAATGGGTATGAATACGAGACATTATGTTTCAAACGTAAAAAAAATCCACATATTTCAGTATTGATAATAAAAAATGAATTAAATTTAAAAGAAATTAAAAAAAAGAAAGAATACTTTCATACGTACCGTTCTGACAAAAATAGACAAGGCAGTGCACTACCTTATCCACCTTATCTCTATTGCGCTTGCGCGATCTCTTTCGGCGCGTTCGGCACTCTTCGGCAATTCCCGCCTCTCAATCGGCCGAGCTTCCAAAACAGCATCCAACGCAAATAAACAGAACGATACACCGTGGTTCTTTTTTCCCCTCTCTAATTTTTTTCCCTCTTAAAATTATCATATAACCGCACCGCGATTTATCTCCAATGAAATTCCGTACAAATTACGCGTGGTTGCGCGTGCAAGCTTTTCCACGAGATACGAGAGTGACCGGCGATAAAAGGTCGATTAAAAAATCGTGCTCGGGGAATAGGTGATAAAGTGGAATATAACCCGTTCGGACGGATTGGAGTGGGGGAGGAGGGGAGGAAATCCGCGAACGGGCGTTCGCCTAATTATTATCGTTGCTGTTATTGCGGGAATATTATTACGTGAACGTAATTATTAATACGCGCGTACGGTGGTCAACGGTTTTCCAACGGTTAAATTGGACGTTTCGTAATTCTGTTATCGTTATCATTATTGTTATCATTATCATAATTATTGTTATTGTTATTGCGATTATTTAGCGGATGGGGCAGCGGGAGGGGGGGGGGGTGGCGGAAGATGGGGTGTAATAACCGCGGCATGAAGCGGCGAGGCCGTATAATTACACGATTTCAGTTGCCGCGAACCGTGGCAACAATCGCAGCCGCGGCTTCGACGGCACGTGACCTGTCGCGTCGATAATTGACGACTCCCCCCACCCGACTTTTTCTTCCCATCCATTCCCTTTCATTTCATGAATTCGCTGTCTCCCGTGTGTGAATCACGCGATTGAATTCTCGTGAAACGGTTTGTGCCGATGTCGTTTATTGATAAGAAAGGAAAGCATTGATTTGCTATTTATTATAGGGTAAATAAATTTTACAATATATATATATATATATAGATAGTAGTATGAGTGTGTAATTATTCCACCAAGTTGTTATAAAATAATTGGGTTAATTACGTAATATATTTTAATGGAACAACAGTGAGCGCAAAATAATGATTCTTCGATAGGCAAAAAAAATATTATCTTACAATATACAGGTGGAGAGCATGTAGGGAAACTTATTAATTCGGAGAAAAATTCGATAAATTTTTCCATTCATTATCCTTATTATCATACCTTATCGAAAAGCAAATTTTTACACGAATTATGAAAAGATTATCTAAATATCATAAAAATGATCTCTCTCTCTCTCTCTTTCTCTCTCTTTCGAGAGAGAGAGAAAAAAAAAATAATAAATGCTTTGGTTTAACCAAAAGGGGAAAATAAAGGAATATTATATAAAAAGAATATATGAAAAGAAGAGAGGGACAAAGAAAAGTTCGTTGTTCGAAAATTGAAGACGTATATTTTTCCAGTGGAAAGGATAGCAACGTTTCGAAATCATATCGCGTGTATTTATATAGAAGCGCGAAACGAAAAGAGGAGAAAAAAAAATAGAAGAAAAAAAAGAGAGAGAGAGAGATAGGCATGGAGTGAGAAACGAAAACGAATGGAAAGAGAGAGAGAAAGAGAGAGAGAGAGAGAGAGAGAGAGAGAGAGAGAGAGAGTGCGGGGGTGACCAGAAGCGGAGGTTGACAACTTCGAGAGCTCTTTCAATTTATCTCATCCCCTGAAGCGTCCTTCTCCACCCCCTTTTCCAGCCGCACATTTCTATTCTTCCTGCCGTTCACCTCTTTGTCTTTGTATATTCGCCTCTTGCCGCGGTCTTACGACGATATTTATTAAAGCACCGTCACGTCGAATAAAGAAGAGAGAGCCGAAAGCCAAGGGAAACTGTAATATCGTATTGTAAATCCGCTATGATTTTCTCTATACACGATAGATAGGTATGGATTAAAAAAAAAAAAAAAAAAAAAGAAGAAAAGAGAAAAAAAAAGTGCATCTATCTGCTCTTTTTATTTCCCGTGATTCGATATCGTCCATTGATCGAATATGTAGGATTTATTTATGGGTGTGTATGTTTTGGTAGGTCGATTCTAGAGATGGGCAAAATAAACGTAAAAGGTATACGAGATTTTCGATTGTAGTTTATTCGTTAAGTTATAAATAATGGGAGAGCCAATTTAAATTGCTTGTAATTTAATAAGTTAAAATTATTGTTAAAATTAAAATTGGATAATCAAGTTAACATTTGGCCACTTTAGTTGTTCAAAATATATTATATCTGCTTTAATATTTATATCATATATAAATATAGTATATATATTTATATGTATATCATAACCTAAAAAGTAACAAAGAAATATGAATAGATTTATTGCTATATAATCTAAACAAAAAAAGGAAAAAAGCGAATAGGTTAGGTTAGATAGGATAAATATATATATATATCTTAAAAAGCAATAGAGAAATATAAAGAGGTTATAGATTAAATTTATTATTATATAGCCTAAATAAAAAAAAGAGAAAAGTAAATAGGTTAAAGGTAGATAGATGGAAAGTATACATATTCTTATATGTATATCTTAACCTAAAAAGTTACAGAGAAACATGAATATATTATAGATTAGATTTATTGCTATATTATCTAAAAAAAGGAAAAAGTAAATAGATTAGGGGAGATATACATATTCCTATACGTATATCATAACTATCTAAATGTAACAAAGAAACATGAATAGGTTATAGATTAGAATTATTATTATATAATAATAAGCCTAAATAATAAAAGGAGAAAAGTAAATAGGTTAGGTTAAAGATAAATATAGGAATGTGTATATTTCCAATCTATGTATATTTTAACCTAAAAAGTTAGAGAGAAACATGAATAGGTTATATACTAGAGATTATATATTAGATTTATTGTTATATATATAAAAAAAAAAGGAGAAAAGTGAATAGGTTGGGTTACATTTTATTAGTCGAATGCAGAATTTATTCTAATAATTGTATATAATACATTTAAAAATTCATATAATTTCATTGTAATCAAATTTCTTAATTGCCTGTGAAATATCTTGTGAAACAAGTACATATTAAATATCCAAACACTAATACAAAATATCCATTGTATGAAGCAGAATATGATATACATTTATACTAATTTTTCAAAGTTCAAGATAACAATTTCCTGTAAATATCTCAAAAACCAACATAAAATCACACAGATAATAAATAAAATAAGTAAAATTTGTAAATCAGACGATATTATTTTTCTTTGATTCTCTTTCTAATTCACGTAAATGATAATAAAATTTCTTTCTTTCTTTTTTTTTTTTTTTCACTTAAACAGAAAATCCGAGTCTCCATTCGTAACAATGATATAATATAATATCGCGCTATACGAAGCCACGAGTTTATACACAAGCGTCGCGTGTTCGCTTATTTATTTATTTATTCAGCACGTTTCGAACGCTCGTCACTTCATGAATATCAGATATCAGACATTTCTCGACTGCGGTAGATTCCGGTAGGAAACTTTTCTTCTTTCAAGAGGAGAAGAAACAGGATCTCGCGCACCTGTTCGTTTCAACTTTGGTGTGCAGCCTCTCATAATCCATTCTTTTTCTTGGAGCGCCGCCTTAAATCTCCCTTGTGTCGCGAATACAAGGGTACAAAAAAGGGAATCGTTCTTTCTTTACACGGTTGTAAAAGTGTTTCCAAGAGATTTATTTCTTTGTTCTTACGTTTTCGATCTTATTTCGCTCGTCGTTGATTTATTTATAAATGGTGATCACTCCAGTAGCGACGATTTATCAATATTCATGAAATTTTGTTTGTATTTAGCAAAGATGATTATGCACAGTGTAAAGTGCGATTAATTTACTTAGCAAACTGTTGCCTTTTCTTTTAATTTTTTTTTTTCTTTTTTTTATATTGTGTAAAGTTGGTGTGATCGTATTTTTTTTCTTTCTAAATTATATGATATCTTATGAAAAATTTAAGAAATGAGTTGTAACGAAATAAACAATAATTTTGTTTTATACGAAATATTTCGAATAATATAGTAAATCATAATAAATTATAGTGCGATTTTTTTATTATGGAATATCATAGCAAATGAAATCAACTTTTAAATTTTAATGTAAGTTTGTAAATAATGTAAGTTAGAGTAAAATTTTGAAAATTTGAAAATATATTCAGTATTTTTATCAACGATAATATAAAAAAAAGTAACAATTGCCTTTTCATCGATGTATGCCCGTCATTCGATTTCATAACCGTTTTTGTCAATCATGGTTGGATTAATTTTTTCAAATTTATTTCACATTATGTAATATTCCCGACAGATAGTTTCTCGG